TCGTCAGTTCCACTCGTTTCACTCGATGCGTCATACATATTAATACCAATCTAATTTATATTAATACCTAATGAAAACTGTTCAGAAACGTGTGAAGAATTTTTAAGATGTAATTAAGAAATAACTTCTAAGATCGTATCAAGTTTTTGCAAAAAAAAAAAAAAAAAAAGAAACAAAAAGAACGAGAGATATCTCGCGAAGTATTGAATTTTTCATTGGCCTCGTGTCACTTGCTCGTAGAATGAGTTACACAGAGAAAGGTCATATGAGATCTTACTTAAGAGGAACATGCGAAAAAGATCGTACTGCAGAGTTTGTTGAGTCGTGTGAAATTTTTCTGTATGATCCTTTTCTAAATTCACGTCAAACAGAGACATCGCCTTGTCCAGTTGCTAAAATTAGACTATGCGAAGAGAAAACGTGGAAAATTTTCGAACAAATTAACAAATAAATAACATTTACTTTTGTTCATTTCTCTGTCGTACATGTTTTTATTCATTGTGTTTACTTCATTTCATTTTGTTTATTATTTCATTCATTATTTGTTAATCGTGAAAATGTTAAAATTTAATTGGCAAGCTGTGAACATTCGTATTTTCATGAAATCTTCAAAAATTTTCAACGAATGAAATTTCATCTTTTGAAAATTTATAGCTAATATTGATTCGTTATTAATGTTAGAAATACATCAACTTTTTTAAATTTCGTAAAATTGTAAAATCTGGATAATATTGAGCAATCTCTGGCAAATTCTCCTTGGAATTTTTTTCTCTAAATCACTGGTTAATTTGACAATATTAAGCGATCGTAAGTTATACATTTCATTTAGTTTTAATGAATGTGACAGAGATTTATTTTACCTGGTAAACGCTAAAATGAATATTCTATTTAGATATTCATAATTATATAATTTTTGTCTTAAATATTTATATATTATATGTAATCATAGTTCATTAATAATTAGACCTACTCTGTTATATAAAATATTCTATTACAATTTATCTATTAAATGTCTCACTCTACCATATAGAACAATATTACAATGTTACGTGATAATTTTTATATAAAACAGTTGATCACAAATTTGTTGGGAAAAAAAGGAGCTAAAAGAATGCAAAAAAAAATCAAGTGAAAGTATAACTGTACTGCTAAATACAGAGAAAGAATTTCTTCGACGAGAACGATTGCTCTTCCGGACGGGCAAAGAAGAAATGAAATTCGAAGCTTCGCCATCCTTAATTTTCTTCCCGATTCTTCACGAAAATCTATAATATTCGAACGGCTAAAGTCGAAATTCTTTAAAGTTGTTCAATCTTTTTTCGCTGTATTATGGTATTACTCACAACAATTTTTTCCCCACAGAGCTCATCCGTGTTCAATACGAATAAGCACGAAGTAATAAATCTTCTTTTCGACTTTGCTTTCCTATGGAATAATATTCAGAGCTATTTCTGATAGTTTCGCGAATCGAATTCTCGAAATGTTGGAATTAAATTCGCTCACGTTCCAGCCATATTAGGCAATATTTTACTTGCAGCTTTCGTTTCTGCAGTGGCTATATTTTGTTCCTTCCTTCTTGTTGTTTCCTTTCCGATCTTCTTATTCTCTCCTTGATTTTGTTAGATCAAATTTATCATCGAAGCTCGCCCAGTTATTATTAAATTTTAAATTTAGTTAAAATTCAAATCATTAACCTCAATTCATTGAGTTAATAATAACTTACAAGTGCTTTAAGTCCTTAGAATTTTATTTCACGGTCGCAGCGATAAAGAACAGAATTTATAATAATGGAAATTGATTGAAAAGAACAGCAGATAAACTATTGCTTCAATAGAATATTGATCCTTCGTGAATACAAGAATAGGCGAAGCGCGTATCGACAATCGATCGATTTGAAAGCGCCGTATTTTAAAAAGAGAACATCCTGATCGATAAAAAAGAAAATATGTTATAGATATTTGTAGAATATGACTAATAAATTTTTAGATAAGGTGCGTTTACTATTATCCGACTGTATATTTGTGTAAATTCATATCTTTAGCAATAAACATCCGCAAAGAATTCATATCGATGAGTTATTCATTTCGATTAACTTTCATCAGTAAGTGAAACAACTAATTTCTTAAAGGAAAGTAAAATGAACAATCGTGGTACCATAGCAACAAATATTTGATATAATATATATAATATATTACAATAATATAACAAAGTATATTACAAATATATAAACATAACATAATAGCATAAATATTACACATAATATGTAATAACAGATATAATATAGAATTGTCTCGATAATTATATCGAAAGTGTTAAGATTGACCACTATCATTCTGTACTCTAATTTTTATGCCTGTTAAAAAGATGTAAATATTTTGCACGTACCAAATAGACATATTTGCAAAGGGAAATAAAAAAAAAATATTGTGATGATATTATTATGATATTATTATGATAATAAATAGAAAACTTAGCACTAGAATTATCGACAATTAAAGTATAATATTCGTAAAGCAAAGAAATTAACACGCAAGCGAAATAAAAGTAAACTATAAAGAAAGTAATTTTAAAGTAAACTACAAAGAAGTTAACAATAGAATGAAGAACATATGCTTCTGTTAATATATTTTATTAAAAGTCACTCGACCATATCTAAAACTATACTGTATAATATACAGTATATACTATACTATACTGTATAATATACTATATACTATATTATACTGTATAATATACTATATACTATACTATATTGTGTAATATACTATACTATACTGTATAAAATACTATATACTATACTATACTGTATAATATAGAGAGTATACTATACTGTATAATATACTATATACTATACTATACTGTATAATATACAGTGTATATACTATACTATACTGTATAATATACAGTATATATACTATACTATACTATATAATACAAAGTATATACTATACTATACTGTATAATATACAGTATATATACTATACTATACTGTATAATACAAAGTATATACTATACTATACTGTATAATACAAAGTATATACTATACTATACTGTATAATACACAGTATATAATATACTATACTGTATAATAGACAGTATATACTATGATATACTGTATAATACACAGTATATACTATACTGTATAATGTACAGTATATACTATACCATACTGTATAATACACAGTATATACTATACTATACTATACTGTATAACACACAGTATATACTATACTAGACTATACTATAGTATACTGTATAATACACCATATATACTATACTATACCATACTGTATAATACACAGTATATACTATACTATACCATACTGTATAATACACATTATATACTATACCATACTGTATAATACACAGTATATACTATACCATACTGTATAATACACAGTATATACTATACTATACTGTATAATATACTATGTTTAAAAATATATAGGACATTTCCATGGAAAATTATAAATTGGTCAATTTGGCCACTGTGGTAGTCCCTCCAGTGTTAATAAATCGCGCGTGCGAAAGAATCGGAGGAAAAAAGGAGGCTGAGCATGCGCGGTGTGAACGGCGCGTTCGAGAATCGTGGTGGGCCAAGCGAGGCGGCGTTCATTCAGTTCGCCAGTACTATTTGCCCGCTTCGGTGGTCGTGGTCGCGGGAAATGTGACCGCTTCGGACTCGGTTGTCACGTGTCATTCGTGCCTGTCAGAATTCCTATCATCGCGATCCCACGAAAAACGAAGACGTGGTCGTCGTTTGCAAAACATTTGCCGAGTGTCGTGTCAAACGAGTTTCCTTAGATCGGGGGAGGGATGCAACGATCCGGCTATTTCCGTGAGATCACACGTATGATATGAAAACGCACGACAGTTGTCCGTTTTGAATTTTTTTGAAATTTCGCAAGAAATTTATGACAAATGCTGGACGAATGATTGAAAATCGAAAAACGAAGCAACGTTTAGCAAAGATTCTAATGATATTTTGAACAAAATGTTCACACCTGCGACAAATGCAACAGCAGCGGAGAAAGATAATGAATTAAAAATTCGACGAAACGAGGTTTTAAAAGTATTCACAGAAAATTTACACGTTTTAAAAGTATGTATAATAGAATATTATATTACCAGCTTATGAGTTGTATTTCTATTGGAAATGATGGTGTAATATAATAAATTGTGTACGTAACAATTGTAAAAGAAAAAGAAAGAAAATTTTATGCAGAATTATATAGTTTTATACGTTTAAACAATTTAATTAATTGATAATTAACAACGATTAATAGATATTATTTACTTATATTTAACCCAGCCACTGTTTTCATTCTTTTGTCAGAGATTTAGAAGACATAAGCGGATTATTCCAAATATCATACAATTAATTTAATTTGTTATTTTTCTTCTTCTTTTTTTCCATAAAGTGAAAACATCGAAAGTTTTCTTAAGCAAAACTGCGTCGTCAAGTAGTTAGGGGACAGGTTATTATGAGAAGTTTAATTACGAGAGATAATTAAAGGTGAAGAAAATACCAAAAGAAGCTATACATCACGTTGTTTGCCGAATCGGCGAGCATAAGTTAGCTTCACTGACGATGAACAATCGCTGGGAAGAAACTTTTTAAATTAATTGAGATTTGCTCCATCGATATTTATACTGCGTGACGAAATTCTTTCAATCCAGAAAACCTTCAGAAAGAAAAATACGTTTAAATTAATCGTATAATCTTATAAAATGTGATAACGCTCTTTATTCGATCACGTCTGCGAAAAATATCGGTGAAACGTTACGGTCTCGAATATTTCAAAAATACCGGTGATCATTACGGTTTCGAGTGTTTCAAAAGAATTGAAAATTTCAATATCAATTATACGAAAAATTGAAAATTCTTAGCACAGTCGAAATAATTCTCACTTCGCAGCAGTCGGTTTCGTTTCTTTTTTTTTTTTTTTTTTTTTTTTC